CATCAATGGGAGTCACCCATCAACGGTCCATCAATGGGAGTCACCCATCAACGGTCCATCAATGGGAGTCATCCATCATGGTCCATCAATGGGAGTCATCCATCACGGTCCATCAATGGGAGTCATCCATCATGGTCCATCAATGGGAGTCATCCATCACGGTCCATCAATTGTGAGTCATCCATCATGGTCCATCAATGGGAGTCATCCATCAACAGTCCAGCTGTAGGAAAGTAGATGAGTTCAGTAAGAATCCCTCAGGTTACTCACTTGGCTGTAAACTTTTACAGACATGTTGAGTTCCAGAGCCAGTCTGGATCTGCATCGAGCTGTAGGTAGAGACAAACTGGATCCTGTTTCACAYTAAAACTCCTTCCCAGAGGAAGGTTTAAAACAAGTGTGGAGCTTTAAGCTTGTGTTTTTAGGACACACCATGTGTTGGCAGTGTCCCGGCTCACTGATAGTGTCTGTGCTGAATGTCACAGTCAAAGTGTTGTTTCTGTGTTTGTGTGTGAAGTGTGTCTCCTGACTGGTTGTTAGTCACTAAAGAGAGGTTCCTACAGTAGGTCCACCCTCAGTCTGATGAGTTAGTAAAACAGAGTAGAACTGTTCAGAGACTGCCTGTCACTAGTCTGAAACTAAACACAGATAATACATATCTGCACAGCTGCGTGTCATGTTTGATTCAACACTGAGAGAATGAATTATTTCAACTCAAGACATTTCAGTAAGATTCAGATAAATAAAACATTGTTTCATAATAAAACTTCAACCATAACAATTAGTTAAGATATTTCAACAGAAGAATCCACAACAGAACTGAATCACAATGACAGAAGGATTTGCTCTCCTCCATCATGTAACTCTGATAAACATTGCCTCTGATTATCAACTAGTTAAAATAAACTAAATGAAGAGAGTGGAGATGATCCTGTTTCTGATCAGTGAGACCAAGTGTCTCTAAATGACCTGCTGACTTTACTAACTGACCTTTAACTGGACCAGACTCCACCTGAGCTGACCCCTACAGCTATGACACAGTCCTGCTTTCTGTTYCAGGAGGCTGTGCCCCCCCTCACCCCTCAGTGCTCTGGCTCTCCAGAGGCTCCGCCCACCGTCCTCTGCAGCGTGGGCGGAGTTCCTGAACGCCTCGGCCAATGGCAAGATGGAGAGAGACTTTGCTCTGCTGACGCTGACCGACGGAGAGCAGAGGGAACTGTACGAGGCAGCCAGGATCATCCAGAACGCCTTCAGGAGGTACAAGGTAATGATTTCATCCAACGTTCATCCAACCGTTCATCCAACCAAACATCCAACCGTTCATCCAANAACCGTTCATCCAACCAAACATCCAACCGTTCATCCAACCATTAATCTAACTGATCATCCAGAACGCCTTCAGGAGGTACAAGGTAATGATTTCATCCAACTGTTCATCCAACTGTTCATCCAACCACACATCCAACTGTTCATCCAACCACACATCCAACCGTTCACTAAGCCATTCATCCAACCATTCACTGAGCCATTCATCCAACCATTCATTATTGAACCATTAATCCATACATTCATCCAACCATTAATCTAACTGATCATCCAACTGTTCATCCAACCGTTCATTATTGAACCATTAATCTATACATTCATCCAACCATTAATCTAACTGATCATCCAACTGTTCATTATTGAACCATTAATCTATACATTCATCCAACCATTAATCTAACTGATCATCCAACCGTTCATTATTGAACCATTAATCC